CTCTATGTTTCTGACTTCATGTATTGACTCCCTTGAGTTCCAGTCACGTTGCAGCAAACTGCAAAATTTCATCTTTTTTCATAGTTGAAAGGTACAAAAAATAGCTCATTTCTTTACCCATTCACAATCGTTGTGGGGTACGTTTCCAGGTGTCGGTTATTGTGATGGTGCTGCAGCGAGTACAGGTGTGCATAATTATGTCCTTTTGGATTGATGTTTTTGTGTTTCGGGAGTAGATGCCCAACAGGAACTCACTCTATATTCTTAACTTTTTGTGATGTCTTCAAACCATTTTCCAAAGAGTCTGCAGCAGGCTACAGTTCCATCAGCACACTGATTATGGAAATTTTCATATGCTTGGTTGGCAATCTTTCTGTCATTTTTGAGGGAACTGTTCATCTCTCTCCCATTTTTTGATGGGTTGTTTGTTTTTATGTTGCGGGTTTTTTTTTTTTTTTGCTTTTTGGGTCATACCCGGCAATGCACAGGGGTTACTCCTGGCTCTGCGCTCAGGAATTACCCCTGGCGGTGCTCAGGGGACCATATGGGATGCTGGGAATCGAACCCGGGTTGGCTGCGTGCAAGGCAAACGCCCTACCCGCTGTGCTATTGCTCTAGCCCCTGTTGCGGGGTTTTTTTTTATATGTGTTTTTTCTTTTCTTTTTTATTGAATCACTGTGAGCAACAGTTACAAAACTTTCACGTTCGAGTTTCAGTCATACAATGATCAAACACCCACCCCTCCAACAGTGTACATTTTCCACCACCAATGTCCCCAGTATTCGCCCCGCCCCTCCACTCCATCACCCCTGCTGCCTCTATGGCAGACAATTTCTCTCTTACTCTCGCTCTACTTATGGGTATTATGGTTTGCAATTTTATGTTGCTTTTTGAGAGTGCTTTATATAACTTGGATATCTTTGATGTCTCAATATTGTCTCCCAATCAGTGGGGTTTATCTTACACCTCATTTCTTTTATGGCATAGAAAACTTTTAGTTTGATGCAATTCTCATTTGTTCTCATCTGCTTCTGTTTCCTTTGTCAGTGGGGTTATATTTTCTGTCAGGGGAAGATTCTTCTGAGGATGAGACCTCAGAAAACCCTACCTAAGTTTTCCTCAACATATTTTATAGAAATGGGTCTGATATCAAAGTCTTTAATCCATTTGGAATTAAGCTTTGCATACAGAGAAAGAGGTCTAACTTCATTTTCTTGCATGTGGCTATCCAATCTTATCAAAACTATTTGTTGAAGAGCCTCTTGTTGCTCCACTTCATGTACCCTGCCCTTCTGCTGTAAATTAACTGTTCATACATATGAGGGCTAATCTCTGGATCCTCAATTCTATTCCACTGATCTTAGAATCTGTCTTTATTCTAGTACCATGCAGTTTCTTTTTTTTAAATTTTTTTTAATTTTTAAATTTTTATTAGTGAAATACCATAAGGTAAAGTTGTAGACCTACAAATTTTTGTGCTTGGGTTTCAGTTATACAATGATCAAGTGCCCATCCCTCCACCAGTGCCCATTTTCCACCACCACGGGTCCCAGTATCCCTCCCACCCCCCCATACCCCCCATCCCACCCTGCCTCTGTGGTAGGGCATTCCCTTTTGTTCTCTCTCTCCTTTTGGGTGTTGTGGTTTGCAAAAGAGGCATTGGTGGCAATCATGTTTGGTCTATAGTCTACTTTCAGCATGCTTCTCCCATCCTGGGAGGATCCTCCCAACACCCTTTATTTGGTGCTTCCTTCTCTATCTGAGCTCCCTCTCCCCCTAGCATAGTACCATGCAGTTTCAATCACCATTGCTTCGTAGTAGATTAAAGTCTGGGAATGCAATTACTCCTTCTTATTTTCTTACCCCTCTCCCCAGGATTTCTTTAGCTATTCTGGGAGTTAGCATTCCATATAAATTTTATTTATTTATTTCAAACCAATCAACATTATTTTATTTTGTTTTCGGGTCATACCCAGTGGTGCTCAGGGGTGTCTCCTGGCTCAGGAATCGGCCCTGATGGTGCTTGGGGGACCAAACATCGTGCTGGCGATCAAACCCAGGTCAGCTGCATGCAAAGCAAGTGCCCTACCACTGTTCTATCACTCTGGTTCCTCCATATAATTTTAGAAGTATCTGCTCTGTGTCCCTGAAAAATACCATGGGAATATTGAAGGCAATTGCACTGCATCTGTAAATTACTTTGGGTAAGATGATAATGTTGAAAGATTCTTCCAGTCCATGAGCAGGAATATATTTCCATTTCCTGGGTTCTTCTGTAATTTTCATAAGTGACTCATAATTTTTACTAAATAGGTTTTCACCTCCTTTGTTAAACTGATTCATATTTGAGATTGTATAAACATGACCATAATGGAATACTTAAATTTTTTGTTCTTCATTATTGTTAATATATAAGACTGCAACAGATTTCTCTGCATTAATTTTATAGCCTTCCACCTTACTGTATATGTTGACTGTACCTAGTTCTTTAAATTTACTTTTTAATTGAGTACATCAGTTAAAATAATATTAAATCCCTTGCTTTATAGTTGCAGAGAAGTATACCTATCCATCTGCCAGTGACTCCAGATCTCTAGGAGGTTTTATAACTGAAGTCTTTAGGGTTTCCTGATACCATATCAAGTCATTTTCAAATAGTGACAGTTTGACTTTTTCTTTGCTAATTTGAATTCTTTTGATTTTTCTTTCTTGACTCACTGCTGCGGCAGTACCTTCTCATACTATGCTTAAAATTATTGGTGAAAGTGGAAACACTCTTGTTGTGTGCCTGACTTTAAAGGAAAAGACTTTCAGTTAAATATCTTTGTTTTTTAAATGTTCTGCACAGCGGGTAGGGCGCTTGCCTTGCACGCAGCTGACCTGGCTTCAATTCCCAGCATCCTTTATGGTCCCCTGAGCACTGCCAGGAGTAACTCCTGAGTGCATGAGCCAGGAGTAACCCCTGTACATCGCCGGGTGTGACCCAAAAAGCAAACAATAATAATAATAATAATTTTCTGGTATGTTTGGGTCTGTGGAATTTCTCTTGTAGCCATTCTGAAGGGTTAATTTTTACTTAATTGCAGGTGTTATCAATAAACTAATATGATTATGATGAAGCATTAACTTTGTTTGCATTTGAATTTTTGGTTAGTACTGAAATTAGATATCAGGATACATAATAGCTACACAAATAAATTTTGGAAATATTTTGTAGTTTTAATTATTAATGACTATATTAAGGAAATTTGAAATCTTTACTTTTTAAAAAAAAATCATACATTTGAAATTGGGCTGGAGCGATAGCACAGTGGGTAGGGCATTTGCCTTGCACGCAGCCAACATGGCTGACCTGAGTTCGATTCCTCTGCCCTTCTCGGGGAGAGCCCGGCAAGCTACCAAGAGTATCTCGCCCTCATGGCAAAGCCTTGCAAGCTAATCGTGATGTATTCGATATGCCAAACACAGTAACAGGTCTCACAAAAGGGACGTTACTGGGCCTGTTCGAGCAACTCGATTGAACAATGGGAGGACAGTGCTATAGTGTTACAGACTTTTTAAAAAATCTCTAAAATTAGTTCTTGGTTGTTTCAAAATTCAACTTTATAAATTCATTTTATGAGGTATTTGGACACTGGCTCTTGAATGTGTGACTAATGAAACCTTGGGACATTCTTATTTCATTCTTTTTTTCTTTTCAGGTATACACATACACAGACACAGATACAGACACACACACACACATACACACACACACCACTGTACCACTGTTAGCAAATAAAATGCTAGTAATCTAAATATATGAGACTGAGTTACATTTAATTTTTTGTTTTTACAGTTGGGAGGGCCACACTGAGAGGTACTTGGGAGCCACCAGGGCTATGGGTGGCAATGCTGGGGACACAGGAGTCCGTGTGGTTCTGGAACAGAACCCAGAGCTTTACACATCAGGACGTTCCAGCAAGAAGAAATTACTAAGTAAAAATCAGTGTTTTATTCATGACATTCACTTAAAACCAAATACATATATGTGTGTGAGTGACATTAACAAAGGCAATCCTCTCTATTATATATATTTTCTAGTATATATTTTCTAGTCATTATAAAGTGTTTTTTATTTAACAGTTAGGAAAAAGACCTAAAGAAGGATCCAGAGAGTCACAGTGTCAGGTATGAAATGATCACAGTAATCCTACCACTTTGAACTGATTTCAAATATTTTAAATGTTTCAAACATTTAAAAATGATTTAAAATAGTTCAAATATTCATTTCTACAGTATGCTTAATAGGAAAATATCATGTAAAATACTTTCACTAAATACAGTAGGATAGCTTAATTATGAATGTTACTTTAATGAATCCAATTTAAGAATTTATGCCTATATTTCTCCAGGTTGTAGCAAATATGGTCACAAGGAGCATTCTAAACACTCATTGGAACTTTTCCCCACCTAAGTAAAAAATTAAAGTTAACTTTGTCTATAGAAAAAAACTCTTTAAAATGTTAAGGAAAATATTAATGCAAACAGAAAATTTCATTTGTTAAACAATAACATGGCTTGGGGCTGGAGAAATAGTAGCGGGTACCTTGCCTTGCATGCAGCTGATCTGAGTTCGAGTTCTGGCATCCCATATGGTCCCCAGCCTGCTAGGGGTAATTCCTGAGCTCAGAACCAGGAGAAAGTCCTGAGCACCGCTGGGTATGGCCCCCAAACCAGAAACAACAGCAACAAAATAAATAAACATGGCTTAAATTTCAAGAGGCCTCAGTTAACAAAAGGGATATCTCCTCAAGTATTAAGAGTCAGAGAAATGAAAACAAGGGCTATTGGGCTGCAGCGACAGTCTGTGCAGGCAGTCAACCCCCTTGACCTGACACTGCATGGTTCCCTGAGCATCACTGGCCAATACTCCTGAGCACAGAGCATGGAGCAACGCCTCAGCATCACCAGTTGAAATGCTTCCACTCCCAAAAAGAACAATTTATTTTTCAACTTACCTGATATAAATAATCTTCAAATACAAAATAATAATCATCATTACTTGCTGTCAGCTTCACATCCTATAATTAAAGGTTGAGAATATTTAAAAAGAATGTAAGGAATCATCTATAATACCAAGTACCTAAAAACAATGCCAAAATGATTTTATATTACTTTTAAGAATGATTAGAAACTCAATTAGATTCTCTTTTATTTATTTCACTTACTTGACGTAAGTGAAACAAATTACTTGTACGAGTTTAGGGTTTATTAGTAATTCCTTATTGCTTATTTGCTCTATTTCCTTTTAATCTTACAGTTAGATGTCTTAAAGTTGAAAATGCAGATGCAATCATAGCATCCAGAAACACCCATAATAATACACATTACTGCTTTAATCTTGTCTTCCACTGTTCAAGTATACATTCTTGTCATTCCCTTAAAATATCAAAAGTCTTCTATGTCTTTGTGATTATTCACTTGCAAGTCATCAATTATCCCAAACAAGAGAATGCTTCTCCTGAACAAGTGTACAATCTCACAGTAAAAAACACAGCACCACTACAGCAAAAATATTGCAAAAATTCATGATATTACACAATCTCGAAAAATTGAGAAATGCACAAGTGAGAGAATGAAATGAGTCATAGATAACTCTGGGTGAAATAATGCGTGCTAAGTCTGGAAAAACTGAAAGGCACAGATGAAGAGAGAAGAAAGGACCAGGCTTCAAATCAGAAGCCCACACAAACAACTAGAGGCTGTACTTCCTAAATAGGGATATTGCCTTTATGTGGTAACAACTGGTTTCTGGGAATCAAAACTTTTACATATTTCAGGGCCAGAGCAATAGTACACTGGTAAGGCATTAGCCTTGCCTGTGACCAACCGGGGTTCCATTCCTGGCATCCCATATGGTCCCCTGAGCCGCCAGGAGTGATTTCGGAGTGTAGAGTCAGGAGTAACTAACCCCTGACCATTGCTGGTGTGGCCCTGAAGGACAAAACAAAACAAAAAATCTACATATTTCAATGGTGAATGAACCTCTAAAGCCCAGCAAAATCTTATTTTTTGGTATTTAATTTTTCATAAGCAATAATAAAGAATAGGTTAAGAAACATTGGTATAATTGTTGGTATACTTAGATTTTCCCTTAAAATGTTCTTAATTCTCCTCTCCTCTTTCTAACTAAACTTGCACATTTATAGTATATTAGCATGGAATTATTCTATTAATTTTTAATTAATTTTTATAAAAAGAGAAGGAATATGTAGTTTTTGAAATAGTTTTACTAAGTTACTGATTTATAATTTTGTGGAATTTTAGGAATTTACCTTTCATTCATCTATACATGTATAGGTGTTGCCAACTCCAAGGTAAGGTTTTTGGTTTTTTCTTTTAAAGAGCTCTCATATGCGGGATATACAGAAACATAGTAAGGAAACAACAAATGGCTAAAGTTATCAGAATTGAAGATTCTGCCTACAGACCTGAGCTTACATGGCAGGGACGGGAGGAGATGGGGGCTCTTGGGACCCTGGGGTAGGGAAACAGGCACAGCTATGATGGGCGTGCTAGTGAATGAGGCCTGCATGGTGAGACTGTAGTAGATGCAAGACAAGCTTTGGGAGGGAAAAGAACAAAATTCAATTCAGACAAAAGCATTTCATGTTTTAGCTTATGGAAGGTTTCATGGGTGTTTTGTATTTAGTATGCCTTATTCCATTCATTCCTTAAACCAATAAAGCGATTCTCCTTCATTTTAAGTTATTAAAAAAGAGTCTTTGCCAAAGAGAGCTATAATGAAACTCCAAGTAATCTTTTTAAAATGCTTATTCCCTCAAGGGCTGACTTTAATAATGTTTGGAGTTGCTCCAACAAGATCAACAGAGCCCAGCAAAAGTTAGGAACAACTAGAGACATAACAGCTTCCTAAAAGCCCCCAACAGCCAGGGCTGACAATACAACAACTTGATTCTGATTCCTAGCAGATTGTTTTCACTGACTCAAACTGAAATTCATGTAGCTACGATTCCCTGATAGTCACTTTGAGATTCTTCTTCATTTGGATAGAAAAGAGTTACTTTAGGGTCTGAGAGTCCCAAAGATATCCTAGGCTACTGCTAAAATAATATTGGTGGTGGGAAATGTATACTGGGGGAGGGGTGGGTGTTGGATTCATTACAAAAATAAATTTAAAAAAATTCTGAGCATGCTCTTTGGACCTCAAAGTTAATAGTAGCACCTTGAATGCAAATCGAAAATTTCTGGAGAGCCAACCCTTCAAAGGACTACAATTGCCTTCATGAAGTCATATTCCCTAGATCCTAATCTTGGCTTTGCTACTTAATAAGTAAATTCAAATAAGTAAAAAGTAAAGTAAAGGCCCTCCCGTTGATCATCGATTTGCTCGAGCGGGCCCAGCAACGTCTCCATTGGAGACTTTGTTGTTACTGTGTTTGGCATATCGAATACGTCACGGGGAGCTTGCCAGGCTCTGCCATGCGGGCGAGATACTCTCGGTAGCTTGCCGGGCTCTCTGAGAGGGTCGAAGGAATCGAACTCGGGTCGGCCATGTTGGCTGCATGCAAGGCAAACGCCCTACCGCTGTGCTATCGCTCCAGCCCAAATAATTTTAAAAAATCATTTTTTAATTAAGATTCTGTACTTTACAATACTGTCAATAACAGTTTATCATACATAGGATTCAAACACCACACCCATCATTAATGTACTTACATTTCTCCCCCAAAGACCCCAGTGCCTCTCCCTCTCAAACCCACCCCCACCCCAACTCAATTGTGTGGATCAGTTCTCCCAGTATGTTACACTTGGAACTTTGTTGTTACCTTGACGTGTATCTTAAAGACCCACATATGAGTGTGATCATTCTGTACCCATCCCTTTCCTTCTGAGGGACTTCACTCAGCATATTAATAGCCTCTGATTTCATAAAACAACTTTTTAAGATTCTCTTTTATTTACTGGGGTAGGGATGGTCCACACCCAGAGATGCTCAGGAATTCCTTCTGGCTCTGTACTCAAAGATCATTCCATTCTGGTAGTGCTCAGGGGACGATAAGCAGTGATGGAGATCAAACTGGAGTTGGCTACCTCCAGGAGACAGCCTAAACCCCCGTACTCTCTCTTTGGCCCTAATATTTTAAATCTTTAAACTCAGTTCCCTCTGTAAAATCTCACAACACTACTTCCTGTTTTGCTAGAGCATGTCACTATGCGGCTGGCATGATGTTGGAATAAACATGGAAACTGTGATGGTTCATATATAACTTTTCTTTAAAAGAGAGGAGCCAGTAGGAGTATTCTAACTGTGTTCCGTGAAGATATTCGAGTTCTTCTAGGTACCATGCATTTTCATATACTTTTAGAATTAGCCTGTCAGTTAAAAAAAAAGCCGCTAATATGTTGGAATTGTGTTAAAGATCAATTTTAATCTTTTAATCTTAAAGAGCTTAAAAAAAAAGCTAACAGGACAGGGGCAGGGTATGCCTGGCCGGAAGAAGAGGCAGAATCACAATCTTCAACAGGAAGGAAAAAGCCATCCTGGGAGCTGCTACACAGATGGACATGGACAACTGCATTTTAAGAAAATGAAAACTGAATGTTTGCAAGGGCGGCTCCTCCTGAGGTGTACCCTAGCACCCCAGGCTTCCATGTTTCCGGGCAGCGGCCCCACTGCTATCATGCTAAGCACTCGAATTCACTATTCTGGCATATTTTTAATAGCACTTGCAGAACAGCCGAAGGGCGCCATCCAAATTCTCTCCAAAGCTTTCAATTAGCATCTTCGTTAGTACTCTACTTACAAAGCTGCCTAAATTTTGAATAATCTACTCCAATCCTAATTTCCCATACACGATGTACTATTTTTATGCATGAGTATTTGAGGGAAAAAAATGCACTTGTCATTTATAGCTTCAATGATGCTACGCTGATTTTTCAAAAATTAGTTTTCAGGATATAATGACAATTTGCATGACAAGTCTAGAATACTGCAAATATTAAGGATTAATTAAGTGTTAGTAGTAACTGTTAATATTAATCTTGGTCATATTCTGGCCGGACAAATGCTGAGGTCCTCAAAGTGCAATAGCTCCCTCATTTCTAAAGACAGAATAATGCTCTATTTTAAGGAAGATTATTTAGGAATCAAGTTTCTCTATTTTACAAATCTAAATTTAAAATCCAAATCCTTTATGTCATGGGGCCAGAGAATAGAACAGCAGGTAGAGCACTTGCATGCCTGACTCAGGATCCAAAGCTGGTACCTCATCTGGTCCCCTGAGCATTGCCAGGAGTGACCTCTGAACTCAGCACCAGCAGTAAGCCCTAAGCCCCCAAACAAAAAACAAATCCTTTAAGTAGCATAATTATTCATTCAGAATCACTCACAGCCTGTATCTTGCACAGGGCACCTAACCTACATTTTAACTAATAACTTCATTATCTGATGCCAAGAAATAAAAACTCAATACATTTGTCATAAAACTCGAGATGTGCTTAAGGCTATATGTCCAAAAACTAAAAGAAATTTTAAAAAATTAGTACAATATAAGGGAATAAATAAGCAGGCCCTATAAAATCATAGATAAATCAGATACAAATATCATGATCTAATTTTCCTTTCAGTTGTTTATTAGCTTTGTTAAGCTTATTTAGTTTGAATTTATATGGATAAAAAATGTTTAGCCTTCTAATTAAAAAATCATATGGCCAGAATAGGATCATGAGAATAGCTTTAAAAAAAAAGATGATAATACTGAATGGGGATTATAAATTTTGAAAGTGAATTTAAGCTTTGTAAGTGTAAAGAGTACTTAGAATTATTTTTCAAGGTTAAAATGTATCAACAAGCACAGCACTGGTCTTGCATGTTAAAGAGTCTTATGAACTGTTTAACACTATTAATAAAATGGAAAAATGATATACATTTTTACTTACTTTATAAATTAGACTGTCCACCAAAAGGTCATGTTGTATCACATTGGTTTTAAGCTGCTCATAATATAAGATATCCTAAATTTGAAAGTAAAATAAACCAAAATATTAAAGGTCAATTATATTCATAAAGTTCATTATAATTTTTAATACATAATAATAATAGTAGTATCATAAATGCAAAGAGAAAAGCAAATATTTTTATTCAGTATTATATTCTGCATAGCTGGACAACAGTAGTTGCATAATAAACAATAAACAATTTCACTTAGTCTAAGATTTGGCACCTACAGGTATTCAATGTTTCCTAAATTGATTAACTGCAATTTAACTGTGATGGCAAATAGAGTATTTACTAAATGATTGCTACATGACAGGTACTATTCACTTAGTACAAATAAGTTAACCTGTTTAATTATATATCAACAAAGCAAGAGTTCAGAGATTATTACTTGAAAAAATAAGGCCTCGTAAAAATACAATTTGCTTTCCAAGGTCACAAAGGTAGTTAAGATTTTATCTGAGACAATATGTTTTTTTCAAATGTCTAAGTTTTTTCGTTTAATCATTCCTGGTAGTAGAAGCAGTCATAAAGCATATGAGACAGATAAAATTTTCTTATATTACTTCTAATTGAAATTGCTAAAGCTTGCAAGTATGTACAATGTCCTTCTAGTAATTGCTGGTGTCCTTAAGTCAATCCCATGTGAATACTGACAAATAAACATACTGCATTTTTACATATCTATATATAGGTTTATATATGTATACACACAGAGAGCTATAATAAAGTTCAATTTATGAATTATGTACATAATAAATTAGGAAAATTAGAATAGAAAAACTTTAAGACTATACCGTATTAAAAATTTTATGTGACACACACACGAATCTCGGAACCAAGCAGCTCGCTGCAGAGATGCCTCAGGACTTTGCAATAGACCACTTTCGCAGGGCCACTCAAGACAGGAGCAGGTGCTGTCCCTCCGCCTGCCCCCCAGGAGTCCCAACGGCTGCCATCTTCCAGAACTCAACAAAAGCTCCAGGTACGAGGTGGCAGTAGCAGAACACGCCAGGCCTCACGGGATGGGTGAGGAGCTGGCCCTTCTCCTTCCTCCCCCCTGCCCCCGCCCCATGGGCCTCTGAGATGACGCCCACAAACTGCCACCGGATACTTAAGCCCCTACAAGGCCATGATCCAGAAACACACGAATCTCGGAAGCGAGCAGCTCGCTGCAGAGATCTCGCCAGACCCTAATTATTAGAATTTTAGAATTCCTAGAGGGCGTGGCCGCACGTGTGACTTTATATTCTATCCATAACAAGCAATACGAAACGAATGGTCTAGCATTGTCTTTTCGGCATGTTTGAGTGGTGATGGGACTGAGGTCAAAATATCGAATGCAACCAAAGCAGAGAGAGAGTATTGTACAAATTGTCTGCCACACTGGCAGAGGAAGGGTTGGGACGGGAGGCCGGGGGAGGGGGAAACTAAGGATTTTGGTGGTGGAAAATGTGCTCTGGTGTAGGGATGGGTGTTTGATGATTGTATGACTGAAGCTCAAACATGAAAGCTTTGTAGCTGTATCTCATGGTGAATCAATATAAAGGGGGAAAAAAATAAATCGCTGATCAATGCCAGGGCAACAATGCATCCTGAGAACTTATTACTGCTTCAGTGACTGGTTACTACTATTATTGAACTGGATGATCATCCTTTAACTGTGGTGTTAAAAAAAAATCTAATGGCAATGAATATAATTGTTACCATTTATAATGTGGCTAAGATCCTTATCTTCTCTATCTCTGATATACTTTTTACAAAGAAATAGTAAATCAATGCAATGATAGAATTTAATAAGGGACAAAGAGTTTTTTTGTTGTTCCAAGTTTCACGCTATTTCAAATAGTGATTTAAGGCATTTAAAAACTTGTAGAAAGAAACTTTTTTCCTATTAAAAATCATCACAAGGTGGGGCTGGAGCAATAGTACAGTGGATAGGGCATTTGCCTTGCACACAGCTAACCTGGGTTCGATTCCCAGCATCCCAGATGGTCCCCTGAACAACTTCCAGGAGTAATTCCTGAGTGCAAAGCCAGGAGTAATCCCTGTGCATCGCCAGATGAGATTCAAAAAGAAAAAAAATCATCATATGGGTCTGCATTGATTTTTCATTGGAAGAAAAGTTCCTCTCTTGGGGAAAGAAATCTTAGTGTTAGATACATCAAATAAAAAGGTGTTTTGTTTAAAAATCTTTTTTAAAGATAGAAATATTAAAAATATTTTTCTAATAGTTAAAAAAATTATTGAATGTGATCTATCTCCCTTTCAAAATATCTTTATTGCATACAAAATTTTCAGACCATGACTGACTGAGGTAACAGAAACTGCAGAAAGCGAAACCAAGGGTAAGAGGGAGGAACTATTTTATGTAATGTTCTGGAAAAGGCAAAGTTATGAAAACAGTAAAGTTGCAATCTGGTAGTAGGGAGAGGAAAGATGAACAAGCAGAGCTCCAAGGATTTTTCTAGATAGCATAAGTACCCTGTATGACATCATAACTATAAATACCTGCCATACAAACTCAGAGAATCAACAAGTATGAAACCTCTGATAAATCTTAGAATTTGGGTGATTATAAAGTGTCAAAGGAAGGTAATCCATTTTAACAAACGTGCCACTCTCATGAGAAGTTAACTGGGTGATACGCATAGGGTGGTGGGAGGCAATGGGCAGTGGAAAAAATCTCTGTACCCATCTCAAGTTTTCTATGAACTTGAAACTGTTTCCAGACAAACCAAAGTCCCAATGTTAAAAAATACGATTTAGAACAGTCTATAAGTAACTTTAATTTATTGTTTGTTATTTTAAAATGTTGGTTTATAAAACAACCACTGTTGGCATGGATACAGGGGAAAAGGGACCCTCTCATGCACTGCAGGTGGGAATGTTGACTGGTCCAGTCTTTTTGGAAAACAGTATGAACATTCCTCAAAAAACCCAGGAATTGAGCTTCCATATGACCCAGCAATTCTGCTCCTGGGAATATACCATAACAACCCCAAAACACAATAACCCAAATCTGGAAACAACCCAAGTGCCTGAGAACCAATGAGAGGATAAAGAAGCTATGGTACATCTACACAACAGAACACTAGGCAGCTGTAAGGAAAAAAATAAAGTCATGAAATTCGGTGATACATAGATGAACACAAAGAGTACCATGCTGAGTGAAACGAATCACAGAGAGAGAGGGACAGACACAGAATGATCACTCAGTTGCTAGATATAAGAAACATAGTAAGCAAAGAATACCCAAAGACAACAGAAAAGAGGTCAGAACTGGTCCTTAGCAGGAAGCTTGCCACAATATGGGGAGGGCAATTAGGTCAGAGAAGGAATCACTATGACGATGATAATGGGAAATGGCCACGTTGAACAAGAACTGGGGGCTGAAAGGAGGTAAAGTGATATGCATGAAACCCGTGCAGTAACAGTGCTAAAAACCACAATGCCTGAAAGGTAAAAAGAAAAGTGTCTGCCATCGAGGCAGGCGGGGTGGGAAGGAATGAAACTGGGGACACTGGTGGAAGAAAGTGGGCACTGGTGAAGGGATGAATGCTCAAACACCGCACAACTAAAACTCCATCATGAACAGCTGTGTATCACATTGGAGGCCCTGGTACCTGGCCTATCACCTAGCCCTATCCCCTGGTATAAACAAGTAAATTGAAATTTATTACAAAAAAAATTTAATGGAAAAAAATTCATTTATGTTCATCACTGTCACTGTCACTGTCATCCTGTTGTTCATCGATTTGCTAGAGCGGGCACCAGTAATTTCTCCATCTGTCCCTGTCACATGCTAGTGTAGCCCGATGGCATATTGGGGCTTTTTCAGGGTCAGGGGAATGAGGACCATCAATGTTACTGTTTTTGGCTTATCAAGTATGCCATGGGTAGCTTGCCAGGCTCTGCTGTGCGGATGGGATACTCTCAGTAGCTTGCCAGGCTCTCTGAGAGGAATGGAGGCTTCTGGGGCAGCGTCTAATCACCTTTACAGGTGTTCCCAATCAGGCATATATGCGGGCAGGATACTTTCGATAGCCTGCCGGGTTCTCTGAGAGCGAAAGCTAGACAATGAGAGGTCAAGGTCAAGATCAATGGCTTATGCTCATATTTTTCAAAATAAAGCAAGACAAATTGAGGTAATATTTCCTTAGGAAATATACTTAAACACGTATTACTATTTGCATTATTACCTACAAATTATAAATTTCCACAGGGAATGTAACTATAAGTGCTCTTCTATAACAATTTATTTGTAAAATGTTTTCTATTATAAATATTCTTCGTGGTCAATGTTAGAAAAACAACATATATTTTAATACAAGCAAGTTGTAAATACTCTAATTTCAGTATAGGATACTTTCTTCAAAACGTATCTGAGGCCAGTGATGAAAGGCTGGAATGCAGGACTGTGGGACCCTAAGTTTGATCCCCAGCAAGCAAGGGCCATTCTGGGAGACAAAAAAAAATCATAATGCTTTGAATAGAAATACCTATAACTTTTGATAAAGATTATACTGTGAAAAACCTATGTTTAATTCTGTGGGGGGAAAATATCAAAGTACTAGAACTCCAAGGGACACTGGAAATATTATGTTGGAACATAGTATGCCTAATACTGGGCTAAGCCTAAAACTGAACCATGCATAACTTTGTAAATAGCAATGCCTTAATTTAGAAAATTTTCAAAATATCTAGCTAACTTTCCTTATTTGCATGTTTGGAAATGAGATGTACCCAAGTTCACTGCTTTAACTAAAAAGACAGAACTAGCTAGTGATGGAAACAGTTCTATTTTCCAGTCTATGAGGTTGGGTTTCAATTGCTTTTTGTGTAATTCATTCATATAAAATTAAAAAAAAATAAGCAGTTAGAAGAGTAAAAATTACAATAAACTGGTAAGGAACAATTTATACACTAATATTCTAACTTTAATTATTAAAATACAGGAACACTTATAGAATGCAGTGAATTCCCAATATCACATAATTTTTTAAGTGTACTTTGT